AAAAAACACCAGAAAAATGAAAGGTAAAAAAATATATCTTTTTGAGTAAGATCCAAAATGTAGAGACCATTAAAATTGATTAAATTCAACAATAAAAAACCAAATGTTTTCTGATTGGAAAAAATACACAATAAACGAAGTTAAACAATATATGGGAGAAAATATTTGCAATGTATATTAGATGTAAAGGGCTATTTTCATTAATATATGAAGAGCTTCTACAACTAAATTGGGAAAAGATCACTAATCCAATAGAAAAGTGGCAAAGGATTTTTCAGAAAACAAAATGCAATGGATTTTAAACATATGAAAAGATATCCAAGCTTGCTCATAATTAGAAAAGTGCAAATCAAAACTACCATCAAGTGGGAAAGACTTAAAATCATGACCATCACATTTTAATGGAAATCACATGAGAGAAGCAGGTATTCTCATATACTTATTTATGAGAATGTATGTTGATATAACTCCTAGACAGAGCCATTTAAAATAAAATAAAAAATGTAAATAATCTTTGACCTAATAATTTGTTTTAGGAATTTATCCTACAGACATACTTACATAAGACAGCAATGATATATATATATAAGCATATTCACTGCAGTATTATTTATAAGAGCAAAAGGTGTTCATCAATTGAGAACTTATTTTTAGAACTAGGATACATCCATACAATGGAATCCTTAAAAAATAGAATAGCATTTAACAAGAATGAATGTACTGAAATGGGACAATTTCACAAATATCATTAATGAACAAACCAAGATAAAGAACAGCATCTATCATATATTATCCATCTGAGTATTAAAAAATTGATAACAGAGGTTGCTTCTGGGGAAGAGTGGCTAAGGGTCCAAGAAGGGAGTCAGTTTTACTTTTTGCTGAATACTTGTTTGTACTTTATGAATTATATACAATGTGCATGCTTACCTACTTACAACTTAGTGTTCTCATGAGGGTATATGAGATCATTGAACAAATCTGGCTTGATAGAGGGATACAGGAATGAGGGGGCCACTAATCAAATGGAGAGGCAGAGAATGATGGAGGCCGAGAAGCATGAGAATCAAATTCAACAAGAGGGAGCGAAGTTTATACTAGAAATCAAGGTCAAAGTGATGTGAGGGCAAGAAGAGATGGGGATGGGGCTAAATAAAAGAACAGCTATAGAACTATCACTTAAAAGACAGACAAGAGAAAGGTAAAGAAACTTTAGATAGGAGGCTTTAGGAGTCACAAATGAGCTGAACTTAGGTGCCGTTAAGTATTTATAAGTAATTAATAGTAATAGTATAATAAAGGCTTGTCATCCACTGGATTATAAAGTCAATCACAAATTGGAAGGGAAAATAATATCCATCCTGTTTATATCCAATCACAAATGTCTGATGATTATGTTGATACTGTTCTTTTAGGGCTTAGGAAGGAATATAAATCCAACTTGGGGCTCCTGCTCAGACTGAAGGAGCTAACCAGTCATTATTAATTGACTGCAGGTTGTCTAAAGCCGTAAAGCCTCGCTTTCTTCCTATTATGTTGTCAGGGGTACTACCATGCAATTCAAAAGAGTTCAAATCAAGTATTGTGAATAAAAACTGGATAGGTATGCATGCCAGTCCAACTGCTTTACATTCAAGTTCAAAGAAGGCAGAGACAACATGTGTAGTTTTATCTGCACAGCGCGTGGCAAAGCAGGCTACATAATTAGATACTTGGTAAAGACATTTTGTTCTCGGTGGTGGTGGCGGTGGTGGCGGTGACAATAAACAGTGATGTTGTCAACCCTTCTTGGCAGAAAGCTTCTCTAGCAGTATCTTTCCCATAGCAGTGAGTGGGAGAGAAAATGGATAAGGAGCCTATCTCCAGTTTGGGGACCCAAACTCTGACTGGGTTGCTATGATAACAACCAGATAATAAGCATCATGATCCCCATATTTGGCTTTCAGGTCCAGAGCAGCATGTTTCTCCCAACATGGAGTACTGTCCTGCCACCTAACGATACAGTGCATCTCTATATGGCATCAACAGTGTGGGGCTTCCCTTGTCAAATGGTGAATCAGTCTATCATCTTAATTTTTAAGAGGACCAATCTGGTCTTGATAATCTTTTCTAAAAAAATAAAAGTAGTCAGGGGCACCTGGGTGGCTCCATCCATTAAGCGTCTGCCTTCAGCTCAGGTCATGATACTACGGTCCTGGGATCAAGCCCCAAGTCGGGCTCCTTGCTCAGTGGGGAGCCTGCTTCTCTCTCTCCCTCTGCCACTCCCCCTGCTCATGTGTGCGCCCTCTCTCTCTCTCTTAAATAAATAAATAAAATATTTTTTAAAATAAATAAAAATAGTTTAAAAATTAAATAACTCAAACTGAATCATTGTATAAAGGAAGGGTCTTTTATTGAACGTAGTTCATCCTTGACATCCCCACCAGCGAAAACATTTTGGTAAAATTTAAGCAGTAACAAGATAATTTTTAGGGCTAGAAGCTAGTTCATCCCTTTCATTTTAAAAGGTGAGCACACTGAGTCTCATCAAGATTACAGAGCTCAGTTAGGACTTTGCCCCACCACCGTCTTGCCTCCAAATCCAGGAATGGACATGTTTAAAAAGAAGTCAGCATTTTATAGCTCATCTTTTTTTCTAAAGCAGAAAAAGGTTGACAGTTTTGTATGAAGAAATTATGCCATCACCTTTCTTTTTTCCCCTTTTCACCAGAGGTGGGAACAAAGAGTGGAGATGATCCTGCAATTTCTATCTCTACAACCTCATTTGAAATCATTCTCTTTGATTTACGTTTTCTTGAAATGAAAAGGATAAACGGTGTTAATTTAGTTAAAGTTGGGGGGGGTAGTTGATTAGACATCCTGTCATCAAGGAAACTAATTCTCCCTCCCTCTCTTTGTCCCCCACCTCTCACACACGCATGAACACCACACCACCCACCAGTTAATACAGTGCCCTTTAAACTCTTCATCTGACATTTTTAAATTATTTTAAAATACCCAAGTGCTCTACTCTGAAAAATCTGTACAAGAAGTACTCCAGAGAACGGATTCCTAGAATTCAAACTTAGGGCTTTCCCTAATTCTAGGGAAGCTACTGTCATTCTGAGTCAGTGTGATGTCTTGGTAATATATGGGACAGCCTCCAAGGTCAGTGTCAAGTCAACCACAGAATGAGACTATTGGAAAGAGAGAACTGGAATGAGAACTTTTAAAAAAGCAATAGAGCAGCCCAAGAGTAGGAGAAAGGTAAATGGGTCAATCCCTTGGGCCTTTATTAAGTATCTATCATACTTAAAGCAAGAAGCTATGCACATAAAAAAAAAAAAAAAGTAAGTTAAGACCAAGCTAAAAGATATCTTAGAGAATTAGGTAGCGTTGCTTATTATTGAAAGATGTGTACCACCTCCCTTCCCTTCCATCAGAGGAACACACGTCCCTGCCCCATCAAAGTCAGGCTTGGCCAAGTGACTTGCTTTGGTCTCACTGCGGGCAGATATGCTTCCTGCCCTGATTTTGAGTTTGGCCATATAACTTGATTTGGCTAATAGGATGTTAGCAGACATGATGCAGCAGAAATTTAAGATGTTCTTGTGCTATTAGGTTTGCTCTCTTGAACATTTGCCTTCACCTTGAGAAGAGCCTTCCCTGGTTTGCTTGCTATTCCAAGAAGGATGAGAGATAAGTGGAGCAGAGCTGCCCCAGTTGAGCCTGTCCTAAATGACCTACCTGCCCAGAGGACCAGCAGATGCACCAGAAAGCCCAGCTGAGCTGAGTCAGGGGTAGCTTAGATTAGTTGATTCCAGCCACCCCTTAGACATGTGATAAATAATAATTTGTTGTTTAAGTCCCTGCAATTTAGATTGGTTTGTTATGCAGCGATAACAAACTAATTCAGAGAGCATCTAGTATGACAATTTATTACTTTTGCAGGATCATATAGCAAACTAAAGAGCAGTGAGAACAACTTGGCCGAAACTATGGGTCTCCTGGGTAGGGCCATTTCCACAGAGTACAAATCAATCTTTTGAAAATCATCACTGGGAGAATAAGCGTCATGGATCCTATGGATAGAAGGGTTTACAAGCCATGGGACCTCATTAGCATTAGGACATTAGGAACACAACAGAAGTTTACTGCACCTAAAACAGTGATCACAGACCTGGAGGTCTGGAGAAGAGCTGCTAAAAATCACCACATGGCTGAGGAGGAGTGATACAAGAACAGAATAAAACGATTAGGACTCCGATGTGGAAAGATGCATGTTGAGAACCAATATGACTCAAGTCTGTCAAATCTTGAATAGAATAAATGGTCTTAACATATGTTTGTTCACCAGATTCTGGAATTTTATTTATTTATTTATTTTTTTAAAAAGAAGGAGCATTCTCTGAGGCATAAAAAGGGAAAATTCAGGAAAAAAAGAGGGGCTCTAGTACTTTATATGGCTGAGAACTAGGGTGACCAGATGTCCCAATATATCCAGGACAGTCATTGTGTCCACTGTTGTCTGGGGTAATTATTAATAGCATCCCCTTTCACGTTCAACCCAGTGTATTGTATTGGATGGTAGATTATATGGTCATACAGCTGACAGCATGTTTTCCCACAGAGTTGAACAAAACGGGTCCAAGTAAGGTTTTGGTAAGTTCATAAGAAAAGACGACTCATGGGTTCTCAAGGCAAACTAGACTGAGGCATGGAGGGCCACTGTATCCAAGTGCAGCAGTAGAGCGAGATGGTCAAGGCACCCGGGGTCTGACCTAACTGGTCAGGGTCTTAAAGGCTGGGAAGTGGTGTTCTTTCAGCCTAGCATGGGGCGCCCTTGGGCAACCCTGGGGCCTCCTCCACTCCTCCAGGAGCCTTATCTGTACAGCTAGGCCCTTTCTTTGTGGATCCTTAAAATATCTAAACACATGCAACATCCCCATCCTGGTTATTACTTCCTTATCAGAACATGCAGAAGTCAAGATAAATGGTAGAAAAGTGGACTTCTCCCTTACCCACACAGAGGTCCATATAGCTTTCTGAGCTCCATTTGGCTTTCCCAGAAACCCTGCGGAAAACACAGCACTATCATAAGAATAAGATTAAACAAAATTTCAAGTATTCAAATTTATTTAGGAAAAAGTCTGGAACCGTGAGAACACAATTATATAAACAATAAAGAATTCAAGTTCTATTGCTTTCAAGTACTTTCAAGTATTAGAATAAACAAGTAGCTTTAAAAAATATATTGCCAAGGAAAAATCTTAGTCAACTCTGCTTTAATGGATGGAAGGAGATCATCTGTACTTAAAGTATTTGTGTGTAATTGCTGCTAAAATATTTGAAAACGGTTTGCTTTCTCAACTATGTTAACATTCCCCTCGGCAATTTGGTTTATATTATTATTAATTTTGGCAAAGCCTCTTTTGACAGCCACTCTATATGTAAACGCTTGCAAATTCTGAATTATCATGATCCAAGTGAAATTTTTAACTAAAATCAGTGCAGTTAAAACATAAGAACCTTAGAGTAACTTTGTATAGGACAAAACATTAGACACATTTTGTCGTGGGAAACGAGTATACCTGGAGACAGCTGTGTGGTGGAGGGGTCAGAAAAGGCCACACCCATTGTACAATAGGGTTGGGGTAATATAGTGGGGATGGAGTGTGTGTGCAAATATAGATGGAGGAACTGTAGGGGTGAAGGGCTGGAAATTGCTAGATCCCTGTGTTGTGGGAATGCAGTATACAGGAGAGACATCTGAGGGGTGGGGGAGAGGAAAGAGTTGGTGGGGATAGAAGAGGTGGATGTCCTTAATGGAAATACATCCCATTCTGATTACATCTACTTTCACAATTTAAGCTTGCCATACATCAAGGAAAGCTTCTATGAATATAAAAATAGTCGCTGAAATTACTATGTTCTAGAAGGAACTTGGCAAGGTTTGTACATACAAGGATGACGAGCTGAAAAGGAGCATATGTGGAAATTAACCAGAGGCAGGAGCACAGTGTTCTCTTCATATCGACAGTTCTACTATTTTCCCTCAAAATGTTAATACTAAATTACTCAACTGAATACAACTGATCATTCCCCCCTCCCCCAGAAATATGTGAAATCTATTTACTTTGAATTTCCTATCCAGCGTGTTCTCTTTTGACACTTAGAAATTTCTTCACACTTGCTTCAAGGACTCACCGGAAGCCTTAATGAGGTCACTGTTTGCGGGCTTAGTGTTGTGAATGCGCCACCCCTGAGACAGAGGTGAGGAGAAGGTATTTAAAACACTAGGAAGAGAGCAACAGCAACAATAAAGAGGAAAAAGAGTGTTGGACAGAGAAAAGAGACAGAAAGGAAGAGAAAAGAAACTGAGGAAGAGGAAAAAGGATAGAAATAGCTGAAGTTGTTATCTGTGTCACACTGAGGGCCAGCCTTTCTGAGGCTGGGGGTGGGGAAATCCTAGAGAGATGCCGAACAGATATGACCAGGATTGGCCCAGTTAGCCCTTCCTGTCTCTGTTTAGCTCCGCGGTTCTTCACACACGCGATCTGTCGGCTCCTGATGAAGGGTCTGGTGGCAGCACCACCATGAGTTCGCAGATTAAACCATCTGGCTTCTGAGAAAACCCAATGAAGGAAAAAAAATACTCTTAGAAGATAGTGTCCTGGGCTTCTATCTACAAATGCCTGCAGGACCTTTCCACTTGCATGTCACTCCGGCCAATCAAAGATATCTTCCTGGACCAGCTGCCCTCCAGACCTTCTATTTCTGTCAACTCATGGCCATTCTCCCTGTGAACCTGGCTCAACACTTAGAGGTGCTTTGGCTCATTTGCCTTGAATTCTCTAGTACGAATTAGTTCCAGGATTTACTAACTTTGCCCCCAGTGTGCTTCTCTTTTCACCCTCACCATCTGGGCCAAGCCCTCACCACGTCACCTAGACTTCTTAAATTAAATCTTCCCTGAGGAGTGATCATCCACTTCAGGGTCCCTCTCCCCCTCCAGAGTGATAGTACACTGACCTAGACTGCCAACCATCTAGCCTGTCACTCTCTCACATAGGTGCTTCCCCTAGTGCTCCCCCATCTTTGGCTTCTAGTCAATCCAGGCTGCTAATCAAGCTGTGCCCTAATTCTCATTTAAGTGCAATCACACACATTGTTGCTCCCCACCTGGTTTGTGTTCTTGCCCTTGTGTTCATTGCTCCTGCCAGACCTCCTTCTCCAGGAAGTCCTCTAGGGTGATTCTAGCCCTGACAGATCTCCCTCTCCTCTGAAGGACACCACAGCTACCATCTCTCTCGCCTAATCTAGCACTAGGGTATATCCCATCTGGTGCTGAACACTGTGATTTCATGTGCACTCTTGAGGGTATAAGTAACTTCTACTTCTTCCACATCCCAGGGCCTGGCATGTTTAGATACTCAGTGGGTTTTGGGGTGAATGGATGAATGAATGGATGACAGGACTCAACACATGTTGATGAGCGATAAGCAATGGATCGTTGTCATCACGTGATAATTCATTCAAGGAGGGGAAGGCTCATCACACAGCTCCTTCACATATAGACCACTCCAGTGTGGGTGACCTAGATGGAAGCAGTGCTTCATGGGTACAGCTGCCCTGGGCTCAGCATATCTTATGCTGGAAGACGATGGAAGACTGCCCTTACCTGGCAGAAAAATGTCAAGTTTCCAATAAAAGGAGAAGGCTTGGGATGTCTGATGCCCAGCTTCTCCAGTCTTGAAAACGCGGATGTGGAGTACCTGAGGGGAAAAGCAAATCTTAAAAACCAAGAAACTGAAGTTTTCATTCATACATTGGCCCTATTAGGAAACAGAATCAGTGAGTTCTCCTCAAGGAAGGATGGGAGGAGTGGTTTCCGGTTGACAGTGTCTAAGGACAGAAGAGATTGAAGCGTAGAGGTGAGTGAGTGGAATGGACCCCAGGAAATTCCTCCTGATCCCGTGACAGGCTGGAGATGGAGGAATCCTAAAATCTCACAGGTGGAAGACATCTTGGCGATGCTCTCTTCTAAATGTTCCTTCCCCACCTAAAATTTCCATCAATACATTGTTTTTAAAAATGTACCTCTCCCCAGTTCAATTCCTTTGCTTCTACATCGACCATGAACAATTATCAGAAGGCAAGGCAAAAAAAAAAAGTCACAATGGCAAAAATAAGTTCTCTGTGCAAATTTGTGTGTTTTGCTGGTCAAAACTGACCCCTGCACATAATTTGTCCCTCATCACATTCCATGGCCTAATAGAGAAACACAAAAATAGGGAGAGAACACACCATGGAGACAAGACCTCATCGCCAACTGCTTATAACCTCTTCGTGTCTTTGTTTTCATGGCCTGAAACCATATGGGAAGCATATTTTCTTAACCAAAAATCAGGAAACGTGGCCCGACAGATTTTGGTGCCACTTTCCAGGAGAAAGCAGCAGTCTGAGAAGTGCAGCGTAGCTGTCAAAACATTGGAATTACTAGGATATTTCACCAGTTTATGGGAACAGAGGGATAACACAGTTAAAGTCAGAACTGGCTTAGAAAAACCTGGACATATGGCTGTAATCCCTAATCAGCCAGCCAATTAGGTCAAAAGTTCAGTCAGTTCAGAAAAATTAATGAGTCAAACTGGGTGTTTAGCATCATGCAGAGATCAGCCAAATCTCAGTTTAGGAGCAAGGAAAAATATAGAGCATATCATTACAGCCAAGCTTCCTAGGAGCATTAGAATTTAGATGAACAAAATGCTGCTCTAAAAATCACTCATCATTAGAAAGATGGAATGTTTGCTATAGTCTTTGACCTCCCCCTTTTCAACCTGTAGTCCAATAAGAAGCACTTAAAATAAGTACTTTTCATCAAATGTTCAAATATTCAGGGAAAGGACAATCCGACCAGTGTTGGTTTGCCTCATTCTGAGCAATGGGTCTATTTTTAAAGTAGTCACAAGGAAGAACCAAGAATGGGAAGGAGGTTTCCACCATCTGGCTGCTTTATTGGGTTTGAATGAATTCCCAGGACATCACACGTAAAGTCAGTCCATGTTCAAGTGTGATTACAAACTGCACTCAGGAGCCACGTGTGAATTACACAGATTAGTCATGCCAACATTCTTCTTCATTAGCATGTGTACCAAAGGTCGACAGCATGGTATGTGCAAGTTACTCGTTCAAGTAGACTATGGTATTTTAAATAACTCCCCTCACACCTTGGAGGGAAGACTAAAGAAGACTTAACCAGTCCACTTAAGACTTCCCTCAACATCCTTGAATCTGGTTTCTAGGTTCATTTCTCCATCAGTTTTTGTGAATTATTTTCTAAATGTGATCTCTAATGGATGGAAGGAAATATGTAGATCTTGGGCCACATAATTACATCTTAATTTTGTAATTAGATGTCTTGATTGTCTAATTAAAGGACAAGAAGTCTGTGCCTAATTACATGTGCTAATTATTATGCAAGTCCATGCCTTAATTATGTAACTCCACTTACAAAAACACTTGCTTGTGTGTCTCTGCACAAAATTTAGACATTTTCAAACATATGGCATCAGCGGAGAATGTTCTGGACACAACCATAAGCTTCACTTTGCAACCCATACTCAAGTATAGAACTTGAGCATCTTCAGCTGGGAATTGGCCAAAAGTTGCCATCAGTAACCAGAGTCCTTGCACCAAAATCAGCAGGGGGAAAGATCACTGCCACCAGACTTGCGGGCAAAACTGCAAAGTGGGTTCCATTTGTCTTGCTCCCACTTCCTTCTCTGCACCCTTGTTTCATACTCCCTGGTTCCAGTGTTCCCACACTGCCCTCTCTCTGTCTCAAAAAGGCTCTTTGGACAACCCATGGACACCAGGTATTATGGTTGAATCGTGTCACCCCAAAAAAGATCAGTTGAAGTCCTAACCCATAGCACCACAGAATATGATCTTATTTAGAGACAGGGTGCTTGCTAGTGTGATTAGTTAAAATGAGATCGGGACACCTGGGTGGCTCAGTCGGTTAAGCGTCTGCCTTTGGCTTGGGTCATGATCCCAGGGTCCTGGGACTGAGTCCGGCATTGGGCTCCTTGCTCAGCAAGGAGCCTACTTCTCCCTCTGCCTGCCCCTCCCCCTGCTTGTGCACATTCTCTCTCTCTCTCTCTCTCTGGCAAATAAATAAATAAAATCTTAAAAAAAAAAAAAGATGAGGCCATACTCAAGTAGAGTGGATCCCTAATCCTTATGACTGGTGTCCTCATAAAAGGATGGCCACATGAAGACATGGAGACACAGGGGAAATTCCATGTGACAGCAAAGGCAGAGAGTGGAGTTACACAGCTGCAAGCCGGGGAACACCAAAGATGGTCAGCAAACCCCAGAAGCTAAAAAGAAGCCAGGAAGGATTCTCCCCTACAGGTTTCAGAGGGAGCACAGCCCTGCAATAAGCATAATTTCAGACTTCTAGCTTCCAGAACTGTGAGACAACACATTTCTGGTGTTTTAAGCCCAGTTTGTGGTACTTTGTTATGGCAGCCCCTAGGAAACTGGCACACCAAGAATACCCATGAATGAGTTTTAGAGAGTCAATGAAAAAAGATTTTTTAAAAAATTTCCTCCTGCTACTTTAAAAATTATCATTGCGGAGGAAATTTCTTTTTTATGTCAAATTGTGCCATTAAGTCCTGTGCCATCAAAAAAAGTGCAGGTGGCCTGGGATGCTACTATGGAAAGCAGGTGATATGCAACCAGGGTTGCATATTGTGATATTTAGAACAGCTTCTCTTTGATGGGAATTAATGCAGATATCCCTTAATTATGATTAAGGACATCTATCATTGTTTACATTAAGGATGCTTACGTTGGAAAATGACATCAGAAAGTATATGTAGTAGCTTCAGATAGCATCCTTTGGTTTCATTTCACAACTCAAACCATTGTTTCTTACTACAGCAGAAACATTCCTGCAATGTCAGTGGTGTGCCTTATACTGCAAATTAAATCGAAACATATGGATCATTTTCAAAGTAAGATTTCATTTTTAAAGCCTAGAAATTCCCCAATATTTCATTTTCCCCAAGACAAAACCCTTTCTTGATGGATTCAACAAAAGTGGTCAGCCTGTTGGTTAGCCAAAGAAGCCACTTGTGATAAATTGGGGGATATTTTGATGAATCATTCATTAAAGAGATAGTCAAGTTGACTGAGGTTTGGAGCAAGAGAAGACAGTCAAATGATGGCCTGCCCTCCAAGATTTCCCTCATTGCATATCTTAAGCAGCCATAGAGGAAGTGGTTTCTCTGCTTTGTGCTTCTAGAAACAGCCAACTTCTTGGTTCATCCATTATGTTCTCACCAACACTATCAAAGAATTTCTCCTTGGTGAGATTCAGAGGCTGTTGATGTTTTTGAAATGCTGAAAGATTCCTTTGGCAAATAGCACATCTCCTGGGGTAGAAATTGTGATTCTCCAGTGAAGCCAGGTAACCCACCTGTCCTGCTCTTTGGAGAAGAAAAGCCCTTTGTCATGGTTCTCTACCCTTGCGACACATATGGCCATCAGTTCCATTAGAAATTGTGGCCACATTGGAAATGTTATTACAAACAAGGCCTTAAATTGTTACCTTCTCAAAAGGTTTTAAGACATGGGAGCAGAATATGAGGTTGGCTAGCTTTGACAGAAATTTGGGCAAAAAAAAAACAGCTATCAGAGACAAAGCCTACTTTCATTTTACTCTAATTCTTTCTAGCTTTTTCTCTGAGGATTTTTTCTGTTTTTGAGATTATATCCTCTATAGTGTTTTTCTATTTCTATTTCTCTGTATTTCTACTTTTTTCATTTAATCTAAGGGGAAAATCTCCATGTTATTAATCCTTTATGAATATTATTTTTACGGCCATATAATATTCCTCCTGTGGACATATCATAATATACTAAACTATAATTATTATTAATTATAGGTGTTTTTGATTAATTAGGGTGTTCTTGATTTTTAGCTAATTTAAGTTATGCTACTGTAATGAATATTTCTGTGCATCAAGCTTTTCCAGCACTTTATACACGGAGGTTTCCCAGACCTGAAATCCATGGGTCACTGGATTCAAACATTGGTACGTAATGCTTTCCAGAAAGTTTGTCCCAGCAAGTCTCACTGTCAGTGTATCCATTTCACCAAAGGCTCTCATAAAATTTTTTCTAATTTTGTAGACACATCAATGTATCTTGATGTCTGTATTTCTTTCATTATTAGAGAAAGAGAGGGAGAGAGGCAACATTTTGCCATCTCTTTTTCTCTGATTTCAAAAATATTACCCAACTTTGAAATGATTCTTTCTTTCCCCCCTCATTCCTACCACGGCTTATCTAGGTGGCAGGCATAATTGTGCCACACTGACTGGTTAAATAATTAATTGGAAACTGAGCAGTCATTGATAGGTGACTGCAGGCTGACTCCAAGCACACATTTGGGCAGGAAAATAAGCAAATGAATTCTGAATCGTTTTTATTTAGAAAACAACTCACTACAGCCTTGTTAGTTGATTTTAAAGTCTATTTCCTTCTCCTTAATACTATAGAAACTGTAAACATAACAATTGCATCAGTCATGCCTCTAGGCAGGAGCTCCTTAGAAATACTGAGTTTCTAGATGAGGTCATCCCAGTTCCCCTGTTGGCACCTCATCTCTGTTTCAGCACCCTTATCCTCATGTTCAGTCCCCTTTCCTGGAGCCCATTCCCTCAAGACCTTGCTCTCAGCTTGCCCTCAGGGTTGGAAG